CAAGTTAGTTCTTCAAAATTAAAAAAAACCCTGGACGATTTGATATATTGATCAGTTCATGCCATTATATAGATAAGATCACGACATTAAATGCTTGCTATGGGCTATGTATGAGTCACGAGTGTTTTGTTCCATAATCAAACCGAAATTAGCAGAAATTAGAAAGTTATGATGCAGCAATTTAACCACAAAAAAGTGAACAAGAATCATTTATATCTTGTTGAAAAAGAGGACATGGATTGTTTTACTTTACTATTTACGGTAGACGCACTTACTTTAAAAGCGCAGTTTTTCACCGAGGGTATCACTGCTGTCGCGCTCAGAGAGAATTAATCGTTGATTTGCGACTAATGTTTTCCGGCGAAAATTGCTTTACTTAGCGGCTTGTTAAATATGTAAAGCTTTCATGATATTGGCGAGCACCTTGGCACGCAATTAGCCGTTATCGAAACCAAACTAGATTGCATTCAAGTGAAGCAAGTTCAGGTTTCACCATGTGGTTGGTGCAAACAGGGGACGATATATTGTACCTTAATTAAAGATCGTTCTGTTGCTTTTGATATTTATAGGGTTGGGCGGACATTTTACGTTTACGAAGGAGACCTATTGTTGAGTAACGTAATTACACGCGTCTAGTGTTCTCACCTGTTGGGTAACAAGCGAAGTCGGTCTGTGGCTGCCCCTAAGTACTCTCAATCTTGTATAAGTCACCACACCAGTCCGTAGTTTGTTAAGCTCATTGCTTGGCAAAACGATAAAGAACATATTGCGGTTGTCACTCATTCTAGTTAGCAATGCGGAATATTGTTGAAGGCCATTGTTTCAGCTGTCGGGAAAACATTCGAGATTTTCACGTAACCAGTTTTCGTACTTTTACTGTGATATACGTCGAGTAGCTTTAGATTTCTCTGGAGAGGGGAGTGACATAAAGGGCCTGCCAGACTGCCGAGAAAATGCACTTAGTTTCATACGCCAACACGTAAAAATTTATTACAAATATAGCAGACGCCAATTATTAAGCCTAAATAACAAAAAAAAAAACAGCCTACTACAGCCTGCAGCAGTCTCGCTTGGTTGCGGAATATACCGTATTATGAATATATATATTATATATATATAATTAATATAGTAGATATATTTATTACTATATATTATTATATATTATAGTATTATAGAGAGAAGAGAGGAGAGAGAGAGAGAGATAGGATAGATAGATCAGATAGATAGATAGCATAGATAGATAGATAGGATGATTAGATAGAATAGAATAGATAAATAGAGAGATAGGTAGAAGACGATAGATTTAGATAGAGCAGAGGTGGGTACGTTGTACACGAGGGGGTACGTACACACAAACACACATCATAACACACAAACACACACAAAACACACACGCGCGCGCGCGCGCACGCGCGGACAGAGGAGAAGAGAGAGAGAGTACGAGAGAGAGCAGACCGAGAGAGAGATGTGAGAGAGAGAGAAAGGAGAGAAAGGAAGGGAAGAGAGAAAGGAGAGAGAAAAGGACAGAGAGAGAGAAAGGAAGAGAGAGAGAGAGTGAGAATGAGAGAGAGAGAGAGAGAGAGGAGGGAGGAGAGAGAGGAGAGGTTGGGAAGCGCTAGGAAGCCGTACGAGAACGAAGACGGCTAGCGGAGCTATACGTACTGTTCATGTGACGCGGCGAGCAGCTGTGCAGGCAAGGTGCCAGTGCAACAAGCTCGACAGCAGCACGAGGCGGGTGCGCTCGCAGTTGGAGGTGAAGCAACGCGGGCAGGCTACGCAAGGTCGAGGTTTTGGTGACTTGTTGTGACGCACGCTCGAGGCCTGAGTCAGATGCTCAAACAGCTCAAACGTGGATCGTCTCAACGCGCCAGAGTCAGAAGTTGAGTCGCACCTGTCAGCTGATGAGACGGCAAGACGCGCCACAAGATAACGATCGGCACGACACAAAGTGATTGCTCACGACGCAAGGTGATAACACGGCCATGGAGCGCGGTGTGCTGATTTGCACGCGAATGCAAGGTAGTAATCACGGGTCATGAACGCGAGCTGATTACACACGACGCAAGGTGATAATATCGTCACTACGCAAGTGGTAAAAGACTTGGTGACCGACAAAATGATGGTTGTAACGAGCGCAAGGTGATTAGTACCGTCACGACGCACAAGTGCGATTAACATTGTCCATGATGTAAGGAATAACCACGACGCAGAGGTCACCACAAAGGTTATCACAACGGCTGTCTATGGGCAAAAACCATCGGACCAGACGCTACCAAAGTGCTCGGGAGATATTGTTTGACTTGAATCAAGCATACGCATCATCTCAATACAAAAAAAAAATTCATAATTCCATTGTCACAGCAATTGACGCGTATGCGTGCTGATGAGTTACTGAAATAAAATAAATGCGTTGCATATATTGCGTTTCTTCGTAGATTGGAGCACTGGGAACATTGGATGGTAAACTAACATCTTCCGTGAGTGGGGTCTGCGACTCTGCTCTTTTACAACTACAATGGCAAACCTTTCAGACGAGTGCGTAAACTAAATATTTATACGATGTGAGGACATCTAGAGCGTGCATTACCTGCCTTAATCGTGTGATTCCAGACACCGGTATCACCGGGGTAATCTCTCTACGTAGTTTCCTGGCATCTCAGATGTCTCTACCTTAGTGAAGTACACCATATAAATCGCCTGAGGTTAAACAAACACTTTTGTTATTACTTTCTTTGCCGGAGCGCTAGCCGCCTTATGCCAACAAAAGATTTAAATCTTTCATCTTCCACATCAATATTAGTTATTCCTTTAAATAGATTGGAACATATTCCCTATACGGAGAATCTTAAGCCAGTCCACATACTCGAGTTTATATCACACGACACGTGACGCCCTTGTAGTATATATTAAGGCTCTTGACATTGAAGCCGTGATCACTCGCTAAGGTGTAATCACACACGACGCTGTATGTTGCGCTGTTCGTGTGCTTATACTGTTGGCGTAATTATGCGTCGTGTGAGTGTGTGCGTTGCGTGCGTGTGCGCGTGGGCGTTACGCGCGTTGCCTGTGTGTGTAGGTGTGTGGTGTGTGTGTGTGTGTGTGTGTGTTGTGTGGTGTGTGTGGTGTGTGTAGGTGTGTTGTGTGTGTTCTGTGTGTGTGTTGTGTGTGGTGTGTGTGTGTGTGTGTTGTGTGTGTATGTATGCGTGCGTGATTGCGTGCGTGAGTGCGTGCGTGCCCGTGTACTAGTACGTGCGTGTACGAGTACGAGGGTGCTTGCATGCGCGCTCGCGTACCTGAGGCATGCGTGTCAGCACTTCGGGTATTCTCGTGAATCGGTTGAAGGCGAGGATGAGCGTGCAAAGCTGCTTCATCGTCGACATCTCGCTCGGCAGGCTGCACACGTGGTTGTTGTGCATGTGCAGTGACCGCAAACTAGTGACAAACAAACGACAAACTCGAAATCGGACGGACGAAATTTAAGCTGCGGCGATGGTCAAGGCGTCCGCGCCGTGGCCGTAATCGTCCGCAAACACTCGGCCGCCTTCGATGACTGTCGGGGGGCATTCCGGCAGCGCCCATCATTATCCGCTGCTCGCTAATTGTTATTAGCGCTCTACTTTCTCCGAGTGATGAATGGGAGGCGACATTGTTTCTCGCTTCGCTCAGCGACTTCACGATGGCCATTACCAGCGCCACGACGCTGTTGTTTCTATACCCGCCGCGTTTCTATGGCGTTCTTATTTACTGGGCGGAGTGTCAGTAGACGCGAGACGCCGAGTGACAGAGTACCGCTGCTGGCTATACCCGTACGCTGCTCTCCTTCACGGTACATGGTACACGCGTTTAAGCCCGCCGCACACGAGTATTTTGACGCATGCATCATTTTACTTGAGTAAAATTACTCACGTGTGCGCCGGGCTTTATAACCGCCGGTTTCTTAATCTTCCGCGAATGTATAGTGACGAGGTGATGTCCCATGAGAACAGCACCTCTGCATGAATGAAACTTTCGATATAGCTACGAGAGCCGACAGTGTTTATCGGGGTTCCCTTATAAGGTGGACACGTCTCGCGAAGCACGCGCAAAGTTGTGCCCGCCCGGTCAGCCAGCAGCGCGATGTGTGTAAAAGTATAATTGTTGTTGTGCGCTATTGTGAGGAGCTAGTGTGCGGTGGCAGCAGCCAACCGCATGTGTACGGGTGGCGTTGACCTCTCCTGGCGCATATTTCTCCCGCAAGTTTCCGGCAATAATTAATGACTACCGATCATTAACAAGCTCTGGCTCACAGACGTTGCCTTACAGAGTACAGTACGCGTACCATCATTACTAGGAAAGTGAAATCCACTTTCTTCTAACAACTAGCTGCTCGCTGTGCGCGACGCTCCATCCGAGGGCAATACAATGCAAATTGTAAAGCAAGCGCGCTCGCACATATAATCCAGCACACCACTAGATTAATTCACACGCACCCGCGCGCACACACACACGCAAACACACGCACCCGCACGCACACACACGCGCGCGCGCACGCACGCACGTATGCAGGTCGACGCACGCAGTTACGTTCATACATACGGACTCACGCGTACACGCGCGCTCACACACACACACACACGTATAGATAGATAGATAGATAGATAGATAGATAGATAGATAGATAGATAGATAGATAGATAGATAGATAGATAGATAGATAGATAGATAGATAAATAGAGAGATAGGTAGAGAGATAGATAGATAGAGAGAGTGGGTACGTGTACACGAGGGGGTACGTGTACACGAGGGGGTACGTACACACAAACACACACATAACACACAAACACACACAAACACACACGCGCGCGCGCGCGCACGCGCGGACAGAGAGAGAGAGAGAGAGAGAGAGAGAGAGAGAGAGAGAGAGAGAGAGAGAGAGAGAGAGAGAGAGAGAGAGAGAGAGAGAGAGGTGGGAGCGCTAGGAGAGCCTACGAGAACGAAGACGGCTAGCTAGCTATACGTACTGTTGTGAGCGGCGAGCAGTCTGTGCAGGCAGGTGCCGTTGAGCTGAAGCAGCACGAGGCGGTTGCGCTCGCAGTTGAGGTGAAGCAACGCGGGCAGGCTACGCAGGTCGAGGTTGGTGACGTTGTTGTGACGCACGTCGAGGTGCGTCAGATGCTCAAACAGCTCAAACGTGATCGTCTCAACCGGCGGCAGCGTCAGACAGTTGAGTCGCACGTCCAGCTGATTGAGAGCAGACGCGCACAGATAACGATCGGCACGACACAAAGTGATTGCTCACGACGCAAGGTGATAACACGGCCATGACGCGAGTTGATTGCACGCGATGCAAGGTAGTAACACGGTCATGACGCGAGCTGATTACACACGACGCAAGGTGATAATATCGTCACTACGCAAGGTGGTAAAGATGTGACGACAAAAGATGGTTGTAACGACGCAAGGTGATAGTACCGTCACGACGCAAGGCGATAACATTGTCATGATGTAAGGCAATAACACGACGCAGAGGTCACCACAAAGGTTATCACAACGGTGTCATGGGCAAAACCATCGACCAGACGCTACCAAAGTGCTCGGGAGATATTTTTGACATGAATCAAGCAACGCATCATTCTCAATACAAAAAAAAATCATAAATCCCATGTCACAGCAATACGCGTGCGTTGCTGATGAGTTACTGAAAATAAAATAAATGCGTTGCAAATCGTTTCTTCGGTAGATGGAAGCACTGGGAACATGGATGGTAACTAACCATCTCCGTGAGTTGGGGTCTGCGACTCTGCTCTACAACTACAATGGCAAACCTTCAGACGATGCGTAAACTAAATATTTAGACATGTGAGGAACATCTAGAGCGTGCATTACCTGCTTAATGTGTTTGATTCCAGACACGGTATCACCGGGTAATCTCTCTACGTAGTTTCCTGTCATCTCAATGTTCTCTACCTATAGAAGACACCATAAATCGCTGAGTTAAACAAAACTTTTGTTATACTTTCTTTCCGAGCGCTAGCCGCTATGCCAACAAAAGATTTTGAAATCATCTTCACATCAAATAGTATTCTTTAAAAGATTGGACATTATTCCCTACACGGAGATCCTTAAGCCAACACATATCGAGTTTAATCACACACACTGACGCCCTTGTAGTATATATAAAGGCTCTGACATTGAAGCGTGATCACTCGCTAAGGTGTAATCACACACGACGCTGTATGTGCGTGTTCGTGTCTATATACGTGCGCGTAATAGCGCGTGTGAGTGTGTGCGTGCGTGCGTGTGCGCGTGCGGGCGTACGCGCGTGCCTGTGTGTGTGTGGTGTGTGTGTGTGTGTGTGTGTGTGTGTGTGGTGTGTGTGTGTGTGTGTGTGTGTGTGTGGTGTGTGTGTGTGTGTGTGTGTGTG